GTAAGGCCAGGAGCCCCTAGTAGCGTCCTTGCTCCTAGTAGTAAGGCGCACAGACACGAAGTCCTTGAGTCCAGTCATTCGCGTCGGTGCGTCGAGGTGATCGGGGGCTTTGCAACCCTTTGCATAGGCGACGACCCAAAGACGCATGAGCTGGGCTTTCCGGAACAAGTTTGGTCGTTGTTGTTCTTGAATTTACTGTTTTTTTTGCAGTTTTTGCATGCTTCCTTTGGCTTTGATGTGAGACAAGCAGCCAGATATGTTTGCTTCAAGCAGAATGGAATGACAAAAGGATTCAATAGGATTCACCGTGATGTACGCTGCTTATGCTGGCTTTCGTTTCGCCTTCCTTGTGGGTAATGATCTGGATGCAGAATCAGTTTTTGTCGTACCATTTTGTTTCATTGCAACTTTGAGGCTTGAAAACCTATTTCCGAACGTTGCCGGATTCGATGTACACTGCATTCCGTTGCTTCACTGGAGAATGTGTCCCTCAGACGCGCTTGTTTCCGCACTGTAACATAAGGCGACGTTGACGCAGCTGTCGAATTGTCCGCTTTTGTTAAGACCCAACATAGCGCCGCAAGCAGCGTTGGACATACCAACAGCTCTTTTTGAGCAAACATGTTTCAACTCATATTTGTTTCACTGTTTGGTTCCGAGAGCGAGACAGTTTCCTCGGTCTTGGCCTCGAAAGGTCAATTTTTGTATTTTTGTAGTTGCCAGTGGAAGCTTGAAGCTTTCTCTTGAATTCTGAACACCTTGTCTTTTTAGACCTTGAGAACCATACCCTGATACATGGTGGTCTTAATCCGCAGTTTATTTTTTAATGGTGCTGGGTACTTGAATCCCCAGGCTTTTTAGACCGATAATCTTGGAGACAGGTGTGAGTCAATTAAATAAAGCAGGTCTGAATGGATGACAATCCTTGACCAAGTCTTGTACCTCAATTTGCTTTGAATTTTCCGTTTCCAGATTTGAATTTGGTGAGCGGGCCAAACCGATTCGAACTGGAGGTCAATGAGTTTGGACAACCTCTCCACTACTTGCTGGCTGCCCAGTTTGGGCTACCCTTCATCTTTGGCTATGTTATGAGCTACATGCTGGTGACCATGGGCATTTGTAATGTTATCTTGGCCGTCTACGTGGACATTACCATGAAGGCTGGAACAGAGAGGAACTGAGAACACTCGACTGTGTTCTTACTAGCGATGGCCTCCAACCTAGTAGCGATGGTTTCCAACCTAAGAGCGTGTTGTTTTTCACCTGATTTCTTGTTAACTTATCCCGGCAAGAGGCCCCTGAGAGGTGATGGTGGTGATGAAGGTGGTGATGGTGATGATATTGGTGCTTAGAATTGAAGGTCTGGTCCGGTGTAGAGGTGGAGAGAGATAGTTGAGCAGAGCACAGATATGAGAGCACATTTGCTGCGCTTGCCACGAAATCTGCACTTGAAGATTTACATCGCGCCGGTCCTGCCAAGACGATTTGCAGCACAAGCTCAGCACAAGCGCTTCCAAAGATAGCATCAAGATGCCAAAGCGCAACTTTCGCTCTGAAAAGGAGCCACATGTCCAAAAGTCACGATCCACTGCACTTGCCACGAAATCAGAGCATGCCGAAGACCACCAGCATGTCCAAAGTACTGCGCCTGCCACGAAATCTGCACATTAGCCCACGAAGAATGATCACCAAGTCCGAAAATGTGCACGGCACCACAAGGAGAGTGCAGTCCCGATACCCGCCCGCGCCCACCAGATTCTGCGAGCCTGCGCAGTCGAAGTGCAGGGCCTCCGACTCTACTGTAAGAACCCCTAGTAGCTTCTTGTTACTACTAGTAAGGCACTTGTTACTAGAAGCGATGCACTTGTTACTAGTAGCGTCCGATCGCTCCTAGTAGTTAGTGTGGACACACTGCTTTGGGAAGAATCGATCCTGGATCCTGGTCTGCCCGCTTCGCCCTCCAAAGGCGGCGAAAGAGAACGAAGCGCTCACTGCAGAGCAGCACTCTAGGGAGTCGATTCGCATTGCTCGGGTCACCCGAGAGCTGCTGAAAAAGTTTGCGGCAGCATACGGTGCTTTCCAGGAGGCCAAAAAGCACAAAGCACACAATGACAAAAGACGGTTTTGGCTTTATTTTTAGTTTTAAATTGTTCAATAAGGGGCTCTGACATTCCTCAAGGAAAGCCAAACACATGTGTTGTACGCAAGGAAAACTTGAGACATGCATGTCACTAATTGCTGTGATGACTTAAGAAACAATGAGTTTGTCACGGATTCAATCCACTTCTGAATTTGGTGAGGTAGAAGTTCTCGAAAGCATAGACGCCTTCGATGCAGCACGCACACCCTGCCAGGACATGATGGATGAGTCAACACCTCCTCTCTATCAACGTCTTGACACCAGCATGTTTACTGACGATCAAATACAGGACGGTGAGCCAATCCCCTTCTCTTTATTCGCCTCAGTTCACGAACTTGTGTTTCAATGTATGGTTTCACTTTGTGTTTCACTTTGTGATCATCTGACGCTTGCCCCGTCCAAGTGCGTGTTTTTTTTCGCTCAAGGCAAGGAAAGTCCATGTGCAAAGTGAGCAACAGGCCTTGTGCCAACAACCTAAGAGTGATGGCCTCCAACCTAATAGCAACAAGTATGGTGTTTAGGTGATTTTAGGCTCTAGGCGTCTTGTTTTGAGAGGCCTCAAGTTCTCAGGAGAACATTGCCATCACGAAGGAGCTGTTCCTGCTAGTGATCCAAGATCGCAGAGTACAGGCGGCAATCTGCATCAATCTGATAAGCTTAAACCGAATATGCAACTGAGATTCTCAGCCTTTTCAAACTAATACGAATCGCAGAGTGTGGCCAGGCTTTGATGGATGATTTGGAACTGCCACGTGACCGTGCAAATCTGAGACTCGACGAATTGCAGTGGAGGGGGGTTGGTTCATTTCTACAAGCTTTGACCGTCTACTTGCTAGCTGAAAGCTATAGGGGCTCAGCTAGCAAGTTGGAGGCCATTGCTCTTGAGGTGAAAGCTATACTGTAGGGGTTCTTACTTCTCAATGACTGGGTGGCCGATTGTTTTGGTCCACAGCTACCGCTGCAACATGTGATCGGCGTTTTGTTTACTGATGCCTTGTCCCCTTACTTGTCTCCCCAACGCAAAAGCTCGTGGAAAGGTCAGGTCAGGAACTGCAATTTCGTCGTGTGGCGCAGGCAAACTAGTCCGACCGAGTGAAATGACGCTGTGAGAAAAACATGTGATGAGCTTGAAACCACAGTCTAGGAGACTAAGACTTCCCTTGACTCATGTTCAATGTACCCGCCTACCGAAGGCGCCTTGGGCTCATGTGATAGAATTCGTTTGCACCCGCTGGACTCGGTCGCGGTGTTTCATGTCCGTGTGAGCTTGTGAACTACAGTTGTTTACGCTGCTGTTTTTTGACAGTGGCAGCGGATCCTTGAGTAAGATCTTGGCTCCCTGCCGGTTGGCATTGGTTCCGTTGGTTCCGTGGACCCCCAGAGTTCAGATACGTGGAGTCACTATGCAGGCGGAACCCAGGCAGTTCTGCTTCCACCTTCCAAGGTGACAAGACCAATGCCTTTTGGACCTACAGGTAGGACTTCGGCAGGACTCAGTTACAGTCGGGTCTGCATTGAGACGCTTCACAGAGAGGTCTTTTTGGAATGACAGGCCAGGCTGTCGGAAGTGGGAGAAGCCCAAGGATCGCTGGGCCAGATGGGAGGTTTTCCCAAACAGGAATGTAATGTTCCCCTGACAACTGGAATGGGAGCTGGTAGTGTTTTTTCGGGTGTGCAACAGCAGCATGGTTGCTCTGGATATGGTTCATTGAGTTATGTTGGAACAGCTAGGAGCGCGCAAACCTTTGTGGAAGAATAAATGGGGCCATTGACATTGGCACATTGTCCAGTCCACAAGGATATGGAGCAGTGTTGTCAGCAATCTTGCAAAAAAGCATGGTCCGTATCGTACATTGAAGCAGTGGCGCCAGGATCCATTGATAACTTTTTTTATGCTGGAGACCGAAAAAAGTGGGACACGTTTTCAACATACATTGCTGCAAATGAACTGGCCTTACAGGAGTTGGAGAGCAATGTTGGTGAGAAGCTGCCAACGAGAATCGCAGGTCGAATTCTTCTTCGACACGCTGCACTGACAAAGTGCCAGGCGATGATGTCGTTTGACCAGGCAGCTGCGGCCCTGCGCCTTTTGGACAGGCCGGAAGCTCCTGTGGCTCGCGTGACCAAAAAAATCGCGACCGGAGCTTTGAGGGATCAGCCTAATCTTGAACGGGCTAATGAAGAAAACCCCAGAGAGTGACGGTGAGGGGAACTTCACCTACCTGCTTGTGGGTCCCAAGCAACAGGCAACTGAACACGCTGAAGAAGAGGCAACTTACATTTGGGCCTTTAACAGTGATCACAAAGATGCGAGAAAGGAGCTCCAGTCGAGGAGACAAGGAAGGAACTTTTTCAGGCCGAAAGGCAAAGGTGGCAGCAACGACATCAAGAAAGGCAAGAACAAAGGAAAACGAACAGGCAAAGGTCGTGGTGGAGGATCTGGCTCAGGTCGTGGTTCAGGTGGCTTTGGTCAAAGACGCTGCGAAGACGAAGCTGAATGGAACAGAGAAATCCTAGCTGACAAACCTGATGGCAAGCGCCGGATTTCGCGCGAGGGCCAACCTGACGGCGCTGCAGCGGCTTCAATACTGGCCGGAGCTTTTCCCGAACCAGCTGTCAGCCACATCAACGCCGCATACGATGTAGTGCGACGCTTGAAAACGTTCTCAGTGAAGCTCAAAGTCCACGGCATTGAGGAAAGCAAACTTCGCAACATCCTCATTGCAGATAGCAGTTTTGATACGCCAGGACAAGAGAAATCGCAGCATGGTTGGTTGCTCGGATACACTACTGACTGCATGAACAAAGGTGTCCCAACACCATTGGCGAAGCAAACGGCTGAGGAGGAAAGCGACGCCCTCCTTGTTGTGTGAGGCCATCTCGATGTCAGCAGCCACAGGTGCACTAGAGGAGAGCGTCCGCGCGGCGCACTATTGCCCCATTACCCGCCAGAGGACTGAAGGTGAGTACCTCGCACGTTGGCTGGAAAGTCGACTGCGGTGGCTACGGAAAGCAAGGCGTACCGTGACCCAATGTCGTTGGTTGTGATGCACTCATGGACGCGGGCCAACGTATTACACGATGCACCGCGTTCGGATCAACCGCAAGGCCACGATGAGCGCGCAACTCTGGAGATCGCGACCATTTGCGAGTCGATGACAGTTGCAACGCAATGCAATGCCGCAATGCATTCTGCATCGAAGAGGAAGGTGTTGAAGGTGCTGTTGCGTGGACGTCAGTCCGAGAACAGACTGAAGTTCAATTTGAGGAGTCAAGGGAGCCATAACTTTTGGGGGCGGCTGATGAGCTTGAAGCCACGTCCCTAGACTCGGTCGCGGTGTTTCATGATGTTTCGTGTTCGTGTGAGCTTGTGAACTACAGTTGTTCACGCTGCGGTTTGTTGACGCGTAGAGGACGTTACTCGTAACAAGGGAGAGCGCGGACGCTATACTAGTATCTCCTGGCCGCACTACTAGGAGCGAGAAGCTACTAGTAACAAGGGCATGGATATATACGTTGTGACTTTCTTCAGGGACCTGACCTGGATCAGACATCAAGTCAGCGCTCCCCCAGATCAACGTGTGCCGAGCGCGCCGAAAGCTACTACCGGCCTTTGGTAATGTTTAGGTAGCTTAGGGGGCAATGGACACGTTGG